CGGTTGAAAAACCATGAAAGCTGTCTTCACCAACAGCACCAAACTTTACTGCCCCATGATCACCCATGTTCTCTACCACATTGGGTGCCTCAAAAGTCGGCTCCTTAGTTGAATTCCCCGCATCCAAATTTATAGATTCAGTTGCTACTCCAACCCCTGGAGACACTTCCATAGCTAAATCTTTATCTGGATTTTTATCACCAACAGAATCACTTTCACCAGAGCTACTCTCATTTTCTGGAGTTCGAGAACCCCCACCTTCAGTTTCATCAAGCTTCACATCTGCCTCCATCATGTCTTGATTTGGTTCAGGAAGTTGTTGTATTGGCACTGCATCACTAATGACTTGACCAGTCCTTAATCTTTCCCTGTAACCCTCCATCTCCAGTCTATACCTTTCTTTGTCTTTAAGAGCTTTCTCCTGGTAAACCTAAAAAGCACACATGATGTCTGATTAGGCGAAGACAGTAGATGATAAAATGGAACAAAGCAACAAGACTATAGTTGAATTCATGACATTGTAAGACACATTGTATATTGTAAGTCGTAAATTTTTGTTTGTCTTCGTGCTTACCGCCTTTTCTGATTCCTTTAATTTGTTCCACATTTCACCAATCATTCTACTAATTTCCCTGTCCTTTCCTGGATGAAGCGGTTTCAGTATTGCATGCTGCTCAGCAAAAAAGAAGTTGTATCCACTCCTGTTAGGTTTAGGGTGGGCTGGATCCCTTCTTTTAATCTCAGATTTTTTCCTGCGCCTGCGACGTTGTACACCAGTTGCAGGACAGATGTTCTCTCTCTTACCCAAAACATTATATTGGTGTGGCATTTGGGGTGCTATGCTCTGTGGAACCTCATAAAGAACACCCTTCAGCCTTTCTGAGCCTATTGTAACAGTAACAAGATAACCACTCTCAAATTTGCCGTCAATAACCCCAATCACAGGAGAACCTGCATGTTGTCCAATAAAAGACAATGCATCTGAAACTAATGAGAGAAAAATATTGTTGCAAAGAAGATAAATGAAAAGATTGTTACAAATTACAATAGCATAGGCTTGCCCATGTAAGATCTTAATAGGTAAATTTGTGAAAATAAATATCAATATAGTTTTATAAGCATTTCAGAAACATTTTCTGACACACATGAATCTAGAGTATTTTTCACCAGAAAATTCCAAGACATAGCTAAACTAGTTCAGTTGGATACAAATCACGTTACAAAAGCCAGTTGTTCTCACTGATAGTTCAAAAAGAAAATTTTAAGAACAATTCTAATTGAATGAAATTCTTCCAAGGGAAATACATTTTTATTATTTTCAGTTAAAAGGGAAATGTAGAATGTAGCAGGAGGTTTGGGAGGTGAGAGGGTGAGGGCAAGTCGCCACGTTTGCAGGAACAAGAAAGTACAAGTATTCATCATAGAAAACCCGAAAAGTCACCTGAAGCTGACTGTGCAACATTTGCTCTTGGATGCTGGACTGAAGCTGCATGAATTTCGATAGATGGTGGTGCTGCTCCTTGAGTAGGAACCATTGTGATGGATGGGCCATGGAAAGAATCTGCAAAATTTTATCATGTAATGATTATGAGCAGTTCCCAGAACATTAAATCAAGGAGAGTTCAGTGCACAATGTTAATACCAGTGGAGGTAGTTGTCCAACCACGAGCTTTAAAGAAGTAGAGTTGCTCATAATGGTGAAGCAAAGAGCCATAATACTTGCGCAGAACAAAGGATGCATTTGTAGCAGTGCTGGGAAAGTTGAAAACTGAAGTAACTTCTTTCCATCTACGCTCTCTTACAACCTGAAAATCCATCAGGAAAATTATCAATGCCCACTAGAGTAAGCAGCTAATGCACAGATGGAAGTCACAAAAACATTTGTTACATGTAGTCAAGAGATTTCCTTATTTACATGTTATAACACCAATAATAAGGAATATTTGGAAAAAATCTGGATGAACGCCACAGGTAGAATTCCCCCAAGAACTTTCACTGCTCATAGAGAAGATAAGATCATTGGAAACACCTATTTCCAACTTTCAATTCTGGAAACTCCAATAATGATGCCAATAAATAGAACTGAAGCAGGTTATCAACTATACCAGTTGAACAGAAGCCTGAGGCATAATCACTAATATCAGATTGCAAGGTCAAGACAACCAGATCACTAGCAAACATAATATCCTCCTCAGGGTGTTTCTCATTTAAGGTTGCAAAGTTTCTTAAGATGACGATGGTCAAATTACATTATGGCTATGAGGTCAATGTCATACCATTATGAGATAACCCATATGTGCAACTAAATGAGCTGAAGGATCAACATGAGATTTTTCTTTGCTTTTTTGTTGTTGGGGAAGAAAAGGAGTGGGGGGACGGTTTAAATTTACCTTCTCAAGACCACCACGGGATGTAACCTCCACAAAAAGTCGGTGCAAGTCTAATTCCTTTCCCCCTATAATGGGAATCCTATAATCAGCATACATAGGGGAGAAAGAACAGGGTTAAAAATGAAAACTTTAAAATGCAATTAGAAGATACAAAGGAAAATTTAGGTTAATGACACATATAATCCAAAATAGTAGACATCCAAATATTGTCTTCCAAAATCAAAGAACGAACTCCATATGTATCAAGGTTTTCGTATGGCCATATAAGCATGATAGAAATGGATACATGATAAAGAAAAAAATTGTGCATAACATTTTGATATCATTTAATTTTTGCTCGCCACCTCAATTTGGGTAACTATCCCCATTTTTCCTATTGTATCAAATGGATCTTATTTGATTATATCCACCAAAGCTATATCTACTGTATTGTACATGTGAAATACTTTAGTCAATACTCTCTTCGACAAAAAGAAATTGCTATTTATGTGAATTCTAGTACTTTTGTATCAGGTAAATTAGACAGTTAGCCATCAGATGGTGATCTAGGTTGCAGTAGATGGAAAATCAGATAGGTGGCTTATCATTATTTCTTATCTAAAACAGCTAAATCAAATTTCATAATCTTCAGCTGAAACAAAAATAGAAGATCTTTTGCAGCAATTAACAATACATCATTGGTAACCAGAAAGACAGACTTCCTAATAACTTCAGAAAACTTAGTCTGGACACACCACTAAACACATAATTCATTATTTAAGACGGTAGGCACCACAATCAACAAGGGGGAAAGAGAAAAATCAAGATCCACGATTACATGTTCCTCTGGGACATCACATAATATTGGAAAAGATCAGTATCCATAGTTATATTCATTGTAGTTCATTTTCTACATCCCACAGCCCCCAGGAAAAATACATATGAAATATCTATTTATCAAGAAAATCTTGTTAACGAAATGGGTAACTAGGTGAGCATCATCTATGTATTCATTTGTATCTGTCTGGGATAATGGGAGCATACACCAGACCTGTCTGTATGCAAGTAAATGCAATTGTAGGCACGTGGAGAGAGATTCCAAAAAGTAAGTTGCTAGGTAGACATTTTTATTAGCTTTTTCATAAGAGAAGGAGCATTTGGTTCTTTTAGGCACCACAAAAGAATGTTAAAGGATCAAAGGAGAAGGCTTACATGAACTTGGTGCTCATAGCAGCATGGAGATTCTCTAAAGTAGACATGAAGAGATTTGGACTGGCAACAACATCCTCATATCTTGCAAGAGGTGCTGGATATGGATTATAGCCAGACGCTGGATACTTCATGGGCAAAGGACCCTGCTTGGCATAGGATGTTGAGGCCATAACCAATCCCTTTTTCTTCCCAGCCTGTTAAAGTTCAACCAACAAATAACCATAGCATTTATCAGTTATGCAATTAGATAACAGAGAAATACAGACAGACACAGGAGAAAAAAAATCCAGTCAAACTAAAAGTAGAAAAAAAAGAACAGCAAAGCAAGAAAAGAAATCACAAAATGACATCCAGGATGTTGCTAGCAATCAATAGTAACCTTCAGGACAGGGAAAGCAGAAAAGCAAATGAGTGAAGAGAAACAGACAAACACAGAAAATCTGGAAATGTAAGAAACAACATATAGAAACACAAATAAATAATAATGACAAGAACAATTAAGAAAAAAATTAAAACCACCGTGCATTGCAGGACTGAACAATGAAATGGAGCCACCTTGATGATAACATCAACAACTTGAATTGATGTAATAACTCTCAGTAACAAGGAAAGGTACGGCATAGCTGTCATAGCCATGAATTCCCTCAGAGAACCAAGGAAGACAGAGCAGAACAAACAGAACCCATTAAAAAGGCTTAGGCCATTTCAACCAATTGATGCTACAGAGAAGAACCCTTTTAGGCTTTGGCAATAAACATCCGCAGACACAAAAAGTCCTTTCCTTTCTCTATCAGATCAGATGCGGGGTTTGCAGGCCTACTAGGCTATCACCCTTGCCTTGGCTACATTCTAAAGATACGTTGAATTGTTGATATCAACTCTTAAACAAACGAATTTATAACTATGCATCCAATAAAGTCCAAAAACTCCCCTCTTTTGTCTTTTCTGACACCATACACATGAAAAGATCAAAGATTTGGTCATTCTGGGAGATACAATGGTTGTGTTTTCTTGTGGGACGGTTGTTTGGTGGCACCAAATCTATCCAAAACAGAACCCAAAAAATGGAAGGAACCAAACAATTTTCTAATCAGAAGCATGTCCTGCCTCTTTCATGGAGGACAATGAAATATACTAAAACGCAATTCGGGAATTACCTTTGATAGAAAATGTAATACTGTTCCATTAGTAATTTATTTCTTCTTTCTATATACGATGTTTTTTTTTGCTAATATTTCTTTGTATAATATGAAGGCTAAAGAAGAAATAGGAAAGAAATCCAGATGAAGTAAACCTGATGCCAGAGTTTAAATATAAAACAAACAAAAATTAAAGAACTTACCAATGAATAAGATGCAGATTTGATCATGAAAAATGAAATGACATTAAGGAAGAAGTTTAAGAGACACCGCTATTATTATAACAAAAGAAGGGGAAGGTTATTATTTCAGTTTCATTTGATAATATAATTTCTTTTTTTTTTTAACGATAATTACCCTTATTTTATGCTGATGATAAGAGATAACCGAGAAGAAAGCAATTATAAAAAGAAGTGAGCGAGTTAAGGAAATAAAATTAAAAAAAATAATTTAGGGATAATATTTTTATATTATTTTTTGTATAATTTTATTTTTTTATTTAATTAAAACTCATGATATTAAATATATTAAATTTTTTAATAATATATAAAAATTATATAAAAAATAATATAAAAAAATTATCTTTATATTAACACTTAATAAAATAAAAATTTAGAATCTACACACTAATCTTTGAATGAGAAATCTTTTACTTAAAATAAAAGTTTATTATTTTATTATTTAAAATAATTTAGATGATAAAATAATTATTTTCAATCAATTAAATAAAAAAATTATTTTTCTTTTACTTTATTTCCCTCAATTCTAACCTGAGGTAAATTCGTTATATGAAAGATTTATAAGGGTATTTTGGGTTTTTAATTAATCTTGAATTGCTTGTTCCAATTCGTCTCTCTCTCCTCCGTTAGGGCCCGTTTGGTTTTTTGAGGGGAAAGGTACTTACAAGGAAACGAGAGTGAGAAGAGGTCATCGGAGATCGGAGCGGCTTAGATTTTTAGGTGAAGTCAACAGCCACGCTCACAGAAGGAGTTTTTTTTCCCCTTTTTTTTTTCTTCCTTTCGAAGGACAGTGCATTTATTCATTAATTAATGAGAAGTACATAGAGATAATATTTTTTATTATTTTTATCTAATTTTTATATATTATTAAATAAGTTTTTTTTGAACAATTTTGTAAAAGTCGAATTTACACCGTTATTTAAGGAAAAGAAAAAAGATGCATTTAAACATGATTTGACATCATTAGACTTGAAGTCCCAAATGCTATATATTATTAATAGGTTAACATATTTAATAATATAAATTTAAATAAATAAAAAATAATAATTATATAATTTTAACAATAAATTCAATTTTTAAGGAAACTATGAAAATTAAGATATACAATTGAAAAGACTTTGAACGTATGTTTCTTTTATTTTCAAATAATATTATTTTAATTTTTTTGGTAGATTTATATTAATGTTAAAAAAAGATAAATATTTCTTTTTAATTTATCTAATAATAATAAGTTATATAAAAAGGGACAGTTTTTTTTTACTAAATCCTTTTTTTAGATTTAAAATTTAAATTTAAAATTTTTAATTTAAAATAATGATTAGCTCTTAATCATTAAACTACTTAAGGGGAGTAAAAAAAATAAATATAAAAAGAAAATTTTTAGTGATAGGGTGGATTCTTAAAGTTAAAAAATAATATGTTCCCTTAAAAAATATAATAAAAATAATATTTAATTTAAGATAAATTTTAAATTAAAGACTAACAATTATTTTGAAACAGATAAAGTAATAATTACATGAAAAATGATTTGTAAACAATTTTTTTATATTATATTTTTATGTAACTTTATATGTTATTTAAATAATGAACTCTTTTTATTCATTTAGAACTCATGATATTAAATACATTTATTTATTTAATAACATATAAAAATTTATAAAAAAATGATATAAAAAAGTTCCCTATATCATCACTCCAATTCATCCTCAAATGAGATTTGAAAAAACATAATTTACACTACCTTAATACATTTAACCAAATTAATTTTTTTTTAAGGTGTTAGTCCCAAATGTTTTAGAATCTAAATTTAACTTAGAAGAAAACACTTTTTTACCAATGATATAAGTCCTAGATGAAACATTCTTTCAAAGAAAACTAATTTAGAATCAAATTAATTGTTCCAATTTATATGGATTAAAAATGTAAAATAAATGCTAGATTACTTCGATTAATTTGGCATGTAGGACCTTATGAACCAGCATGCAGAGTTCACCATCTTCTCTGAAGATACAAAAGATTTCCCTAATCTTGAAGATATAGAGTAGTTAATTGTCATGATCAGACATAATTTTATGGTTATTTAATATTTTTTTTCTTGAAAAATTTCTGTCATATATATAAACAAACCTCTAACAACCTACATCTCACAGACCAAGCTCTATACAAATCGAAGAGCATCAGCGAATTTTCAGAACTCTAGCTAGAGCATATGTAAGGTTTATATTTTCATTTTTTCAAATTTTAATGATTAATTGTAGGTGCGTGCAATCTAAACATTTAGAAAAATGTTATTCCCTTGAGTGCATGCAGTTAAAAAGAAGGTCTGAACATGAAGTCTGGATCGGTCCTAAAGCTCATGATGAAACTTGTGGCTTGTAGTCTGCTGGTAATACTCATGTCAATCTCCGTGGCTGCTAATTGTGGACGTCGCCCTGGTGGCGACCCTGGCGGAAATCCACCTCCCTCCTCTTATGGTGGTCCTGGTGGCACGGGAGGATGGACATTTACACCTGGAAATCCTTACATGCCTTGCGAGGGAGGTTTTTGTCCTAATGGCGGTTCTACCTCACTCCAAGCAATACTTGGCCCAGTTACTTGTCTCATTCTTTTATTTTACATTTTACTTATTGTTTGATGTGAATTTGCTAGATATATATTTAGATAAATAATAAATAAATAAATAAGTAAATAAATAGTAATATTTATTTTATAATTCTTTCCATAATCTCGGGATTGAAAGCACATTTGTCACTAAGAAACAGTCAAGAGATAAATATCGATACTTGACATTCAAAATGAATTTTTCATACATGAAGATTGGAAAACAGCATTAGAAATGATTCCTTTTCACACTTAAAGGAAATGAATTATTCAAATGCTTGACACGAAAAACAATTAATTAGACAAACATCTACAATTGCGAGAGGGGAATTTAACTTTCAGAAATCTAAATATGAAGGATGCCAAAGCCTAGTTGACCGCACTGCACACCCTCCTTATGATCCCCTTTGAACCGGTCAGAGGATCAATATCTCCCATCTTGATCATGGCAGCTGCGAAATCGGACTTGAAACTTGCTTGGTTCTTACTGTATTTAGAGACTAAACTATCTGTAGATCCACCACTGAAAAGGACCTGATCAGACTCGAGAAGGCCCTTCTTCTGGATTAGATTCTTGAAGTAGTTGTTGTCGAAGGAATTAGGTGTCACTAGATCAAGTGGAGCCAAGTTAGCATTGCCTTGATTGGTATTGGCTGGACAACGGCGACGACGAGTGCTGGCAAATCCAGCATCGATGTTGCTCCCATCGTATATCCTGCTCCTAAATGTGACGCACTGAGCTTGTCCTATGGTATGTGAACCTGACAAAGCGACCATGTCTCTGGCACTTAGCCCTTTGCTTCCAAAGCGAGATATGAGCTTACCAACGTTGTCTATGGTAAGGGGAAGTTCACTCTGAGCTAGGGTTCGACTTGCAGTTGTAGAATCTCTTCTCCCAAGCTTCACTGTCCATGATGGACCGCCTACCTGATTGATTTGAAGTAGAGAAATTTCATCAGAATTTTATATGCAATTGTCATCTTAAGGAAAGATCTATATATTATTAGTGTTTTTTTTTTTTTTTTTGGCACAAGGAAAGATCTATATATAATTAGTTGAATATATATGTACTCACGTATTCAGAGGCATCTCTTGCTGCCACTGCAAGTATATCTGCACAAGACACAACTCTAGGACATATCTTCTCTACCGCAGCTTTAGCTTTGTCTATGACTCCAAAACCTCTAGCAGAGCCTTTATTCTGTATTGCATTCTGCTCGCTATCGATAGAGGGAGCGTCATCTAGTAAGACTGAGGCATCACATCCCTAAATTCAAATTAAAAAAAAAAATAGTAAGCATACATTACTATCTTAATTCCATTTATTGGAAAATAAATAATATTACGTGAACCAAGCAAGCGATATATAATTAATTAAGTACGCACCTGAACAAAGCAATCATGGAAATGAAGGCGAATAAGAGAAGCTGCCATTCTGCGCTCTGCAGCGATTGCAGATCTAATGGTAGTCCGTATAGTGCTTAGTGCATTTGGACAAGTTTTTGCATAAAATGTAGAAGAAAGTTTTGCTTGGCATGTTATGCTTAGAAGAAGCAGCATCATGGACACCATTGCTGTAACTTTGTTCCCAGCGGATGCCATTTTCTTCTCTCTTTGGCTAGTTTCTTGGGCGTAAATGAAAGAAAACTAAGTTTGAGTGGCAGTGATAAACAGAAAAGGAAGCTCCAGCTGGAATGCAAAAGCAATTGAGAAAATGAGAAGGGAGATGGCAGAGAACTTAGGAGTCTATAGCATTTATAGGCCAGTGTGGTGGGCTATCGATCCTTACATATTAATTGCACCATGACAATTTCTTCTTAACGCGTTGCTTTCAGTCGATGTTCAAAGATATATTTTATTATTTTTTTAACAAATGGAAACGTGGGTATTGCGGACAAATTAAAAAAAAAAAAAAAAAGGAAAAAAATTAAGAGGTTTCTTTGCGATTTATGTAGAGCAGCACAAATTAACATGTACTAAAGTTCTTTTACGTCAAAAAATTAAAAATATTTTAATGACATGCTTCGATAGAGTTTAAAAGGTATTATGATTATAACATTTTTTAATACAAGTTGCACCAAAAAATATAATGTAAGTATTAAAATTATTAAAATATATGTAATAAAACTCTATTATATTTATTTATTAATAATATTTTAAATTTTTTAATATTCAAATTATATATTTTTTATAATTTATAGTAAAAAACACAAATATTTTTTATAATTCATTATAATATGCTCCTCGGTGTGAATAATATAAATATTATTTTGATTACACAATAAAATATAATTATTTCTTATTTTTTATTTCACTCTATTTACCTATATACTATTTGATTCAAATTTAAAATTTTTTATTTACAATAAAAAATTATTAAATTATTTAAATCATTTATCTTAATAATATTGAAGAGTGAGGTTTGGCTTGCTTATAATATTTATAAGTAAAGTATTAGTTTGGAAAAAGTCGCGGTGTCATAAAATAAGGCTTGCGAATTCAATAAACTCCGTCTTTTTCCTAATTATGTGAACAACGATAGCAATACAAATTTATCATGGTGCTGCCTGGAATTGGTCAATGTGAGTATTTTGAAAGCCGCCAACGTCCTCTGGGCATCTTCTGCACTGTAAAGCATAGGGGCGGTGGATTAATAATTATTAAAAATTCTTCTCATGGTCATCGCTGCCGATTTTGACTTCTACGTAATTTACAGCGAACAAATTGAATTGTCACATTGCGGCGAGTAGCTCAATTGGATAAGTTTCAAAGATTTTTACTTTTTTGGTAGCGAGATTAATTATGACCTCACATTATATTATAAATTTATAATTATATTATATTATCATATATTTTAATTTTTTATTTAATATTTATTTATATTATTACATATATTTATTATTTAATTATGCATTATAATTATAAATTTTAAATGATATTATATATTATTATAATATTTTATTGTTTAATTAGAAAAGTTAGAGACCAATAAAGAAATTTATCTTATTTTATCAATGATATAAGTAATTATCAACTATTTATTGATTTGATTGGAAGAAATTTAGTTTTTCTTAATTAAAATTTTAAATTCAGTATTATGAATAAAGAAACAAATATTAAAGGAGCTTTCTCTTATGAGTTTGATGCGATTCAATTCTGAATTACTCAAGTTTAATATACCTTTTATATACCAAAAAATTAATAATAAAAAATATGTAAATAACTCATGATGTAGAATGAATTGGTCGGGTTGAAGGAAAAAAAGGTTTATTTCTCACCGTACAACTTAGAAAAAAAAAAATCTTAACCTGTTTTCAAATATTCTTCGCAGCCTTATTTTAATTTGACAATAAACGAGATGAATTGACCAACATGATATTGAAGACAAATGGCAAAAGGTACCTATTTGCCCTTAAAGATTTCAAATTTGAGGCGTTTTACCACTTATATTTCAATATATGAATTTTTACCCTTCATGATTTCTAATTTGGGGACATAAGGTAAAATTTAACACCAAACGATCATATGCTACACGTGCATCGTTATTTCCATTATAAATTTACATGTTAGCAGCAACTTAAATATTTTTTAACATGTCAGCAAGTCCAACTTGGACCCTTTCCAACAAAAAAATTTTTTTTTTCTTCCTCCCTTTCATCTTTCCCTTTCTCTTTCTTCAACTTCTGCAAATCCAAACATCTCCACTAATCTCTACCCTTATGGCTTCAT